GCAATTTAAATCATTACACATTGCCGTTTCCTTTGCTGTGGCCATAAAGTATATAAAAGACGCGTACGGGGAAGCCTCCGGGAAGCCTCGAAATTTGTGTTCTTTCCCCTCTGCCATTTTGTTCAGCCCATTCTCCCATGGGTTCGTGAACTTGTTCCAGGCTTCACAATTTGCTCAGTGGAATAACAGATACAACAACAATTAACTGCCTAAAAATATATCTTCCATAGCCAGATTGAGCTACGAATGGAAGGTAAGAACNTTATGTAGGTAAGTAACTAATTTGCTGTATTAATATCAATTTGTTTCAATAAAGATTTAAAAAAAAAAAACTGTTCTGGGTGAAGAGCTCCCTTTAGTTTACACAACTTGCATTGAACCTTAAACTTCAGCAGAGGTGTGATATGAGGACACACAATGAAGGCAGGTCAGGACCATGAGCTGTTCATTCATTGCTAATTCACCGTGCCTATCATTCACAATCTTCCAGTTTACTAATTTATAGGTGAACTTAATGTTGGCTGCTGTTTCCATAATATGGTTTTTGTGCTATTTTGCTGGTTTTTTGTTGTGCTTGTCAGTACTTTGAAAATATTCAGTTTAAAAAGCATACTTTGGAATTGAATTACCGGTATTATTTGCAAGTAAAGGTAAGTCAGTTTTTTTTTTCACATCTCCCATCTGCAATTTTAGTTGCAACCGCTTTAAATAGCATGAGGTATATTATTTGTCCAAAGCATTTATCTCATATATCTCAACCAAGCCCTCTTTCCATTGAGCTCGATTTCCCTTTTAGTTGGCCTCACATGTACTGAGAACCCAGGAATGGACACTTGGAGCAGATGCAAGTTACATCCAACACCTAAGCACTAGGTGAAGAGAAATCTCAAACTCTCGTCAGTTTGAACATTGATATTGCCAGTGGCAATGAATGAGGCAAAGTCATTGGTAGACCTTTTACTTTAAACACATCCAAGGAAGTTGAGCAAGACCAAAATCGTGTTATCCCATTGTCTGCAAAATAGATCCACACAGTACATATTTAATCTTGGATTTGTAAGTTGAACAAGAATTTGCTGGAAGTGTGACCTGGTACAGGGGACAAATACAATTATTTTTTACCACTTACATTAAAGCAAAACATACCCTACTTTCCCCATTAAGCATCTAGTTTTTTAATTCCATATATTGCAAATTATTTATGTTACTTTGAAAGAGCCATAGCTCATTAGCAAGCTGTTTATGATTCCTTTTGGTTAATAAGGAAAGACAGCAGGCGAAACTCGATTAATGAAGCTTTACACAAGTTTTCAAGGACAAAACATTGCTTAGATTTCGAATTATTTAACCCTTTTCTTCATAGGTTTTACCTCTCAGCTCTCTTATCGTCGAACGAAAACATAATATCTGTCAACAACCATGCTTTTGGCAAGCAATACACTGATACACTTCATACACAAGTCGAGATATCTAAGAAAGAAAGTGCCGAAGGTAGGTTCAATTCGGGCACGTTAAGATCAAATTAAAAGAGGTCAGAAATGGAAATAATTTATCTTTCAACCATAGAGATTCCATGAACCACGAAGGTTTGATTCCTAAAATCATCTGTTCAGCACTGAAAATGGTGGCTTTGTAAATTGATTAGAAGTCATCTACAGCTATTACTTGGCATGCGGAACATTTTATATGGATGTCATTCCAGATTTCTTTCAGCATCGGATGTGAGCGAACCTCCTATAATTCATATTTTCACATCACCATCAGCGCATGGTGGTGTTTGCCGTTCAGCAATCAGATGAAAATGAGCTCCAGGAAAATTTCTCCCGGCATGCTTTGCGAGTCATGTCCAACACCGCCTGGCGGCGGACAGGAAATTAAACAAAGTTAACACACAATTCTTCGAAAACTTCTAAAAACAGCTTTTATATAGTGGACATTGTGTTTCTACTGATAGCAGTGAATTGCCGGGATTTTAATTAATAATAGCCTTTTATTTTCGCCATTGAAATTGATTTGTCTCTTGTTCGTGTATAATTATTGTGTTATTTGCACCCAACACATTGGCATAGATTTTCGTTTATTTTCTAAGGGAAATACTGCAAGTTCGAGCATGAAACTTGGCATGGTATATGTTTAATAATGATATTTTAAGGTTGTAAAGTAAAATAATCGAAAAGTGAAGTACCAGATGCATTTTTATGCTGTTAAACATGACCTATATTTTGCGGTTATTTTTGACACGCTTCATAGGTGTTTTTAAAATGGTTCGGAAAACCACTATATCAACATATCTGAGATAAGTTTAAAACAAAAAATAAATTAGAGTGGTTGTTCCACATTTGTGTGAAGTTTGAAGTCAATCGAATGTATTTTAAGACTTAAGGAGCACTTCGTCCTCTCACCTTATTTTGATCATTTTATTACTCGAAAAACCGCACTTTAGAACAGGTAATTTGGCAGTCAGTAAGCCGTTTGTTTTGAGTTTTACAAGGGTTAGTCTGTTTAGAGCTGACGCACTTTTGATAAACCATTCTGTTTGTTTTGGTAACACTTAAAAAGACATTAGTAAAGCATTCATAGTTTCCTTTTGAAGGGAACTGCATTTTACCGTATTTCTCAGGTTTTTTTATAGATGACATAGCACCATAAAAGGCGAGAAAGTTCGTTTTGACATCAAAGCGCTCCTTAAATTCATTAAAGGATAGAAATTTGCTTTCATCCCTCATAAAGTGCCTGACCTTTTGAATTCCCTTAGCAGACCATGATTTGTAATAAATTGGCTTCTTCCCAACCTTTACAAGAGAGTTGTGCCATAAGTTTAATGACAAAAGGTGTTCTACGGATTTTATTGTATCCTCAAAACACGTTTCTGTCCATATTTGCACGATTTCAGTAACGAAAGGGTCGGGCACATTGATGTATTTAGAAACGTCCTTTCTGTCAAGGTTGCCTCTGAAGAACTCTACTCCACCATAATCTTCAAATTGAAAGTCAAACAGCAGCTTCCATTTTCCACTATTATCGTCGTTTAAATATTTTCTCACCCAGGATAGCTTAAGTGCTTTATTGAAGGAGCTTCAAGCACCTTAAGTCCCCCATTTTCATAGTCATTAATCATAATGCTTCTCTTATTTTGCCTCCCTTACCATCTCAAAGAAATTGATAGAAAATGCTATTGATCTCATCCAACACCTGTTGATTGGTTGGTAAGGGAGAGAGCACATAAACAAGCTGTGAAGCGATTAGGCTTTTAAGCACAACAATTTTTCTCAAGGAGGTTAGGCGGTGGTATTCCCAGCAGCTTAAACAACAACGAATCTTTTCTAATTTTTCTCTGTGATTTTCACTTATACTTATTGTTGGGTTTGTTTTTAGGAAGAAATAATAGTGGCTCTTTTCAAATACTGTATTAAAAATTCTACAACTTCACACAAAATTATGCTTCATTATTGAGAAGAAATGCAATTTTAAAGCTATCTAAAAAATTGCACGTTCTAATCATGTGACCAGTGATGTAACAACCACAAGGTTGCAAAGAGTGTATCTTCACAAAAATATAATAAAAATAGCCCCCTTAACTGTGACATGGCAGAAGTCATGTGGCCATTTCCAAATGCTCTATAGCATTACCCTTTGAAATATGTGAAGCGCTTTCCAGTTTTTCCATACCTGTCCTCACACAGGGGTAAAATGCACTTTTAGACATGGTCACATGACTGGTGAAGTCATCACACCAAATTTGCAAAAATATCTATTTCATGGCAAGTGTTTTTTTTATGTAATACAGCAACCTCCCGGATTTCAAAACTGACAACGTTAGTTAACATGCAAATTTTTCAGCTGCATAGGATGCTGGGAAGGTTCTTATTATAATTATAATATTGTTTTTAATTATTTAGGTTTTTAACGCACTAATATTTTTCTGTTTAGTACATGCGTGATCAAAATCCTCTTTCAGTTGAAAATAAGCTGTAAATAAAGGTAAAAGTACTTACCTCTATAACGTTCGTTTGTATTTTTAAATTTTGCTCTCTGTCACACACTTTAGATCCGAAAAGTGGAATACAAGGATCCAGCTGAGGAGGAATGGGAAACATTCCAGAAAGTAATGCAAGTGGAGACACAGGTAGTTACAGTACATTGTCATCTTGAACAACATTTAGATAAGAATGAAACATTTAATGATTATTGATATACACAGATTCAGCCCATCACTGGAAGTTGCATGGAAGCAAGGCCTAAGGGCCAAGGTGGAAAATATGGTGGCTAATATAAGCATTTAAGTCACAAGTGTTGTGCTGCAGCATTGTGTAACAATCGCTCTGATAGCAGGAAAGATCTAATTTTTCACACGTTTCCGAAAGATCAAATTCTAAGGGAAACATGGGAGATAAAGATGAAACATGGCGACAAAAAATTCACTTCCAACAGAGCCCTCTATTGTTGTTTGGAGCACTTTGTCGAGATGGACTACAGAAAGATTGCCCTCTTGTTGCAAGTTTAACTTCCATTTGTCCAGCTGTTAATGTTTCAATAAATGATGTTTTCAACTGTTGAGGGGATTGTTACAAAAATGATGTCAGTTAACCATGTGATTTACTGACATGTTTGATATTGGGGGGTACAATGGATTCAGGAAATTGTGCAATATTTGATTTCTTTGGCACTTGCCAGTGGGTGGGAACAGCTATATCATTGGCAATGGAACATTGTTCTTTGCCATACCCTTCATCGTTTAGCCTTCCTTGCCCTTGGTTGGTAAGCTGGCAAGAGGACTGTAATATTATTTCTTCAGTAGTCAGTGAAGTAATGCTCACAGAGGTCCAGCTTGTTTGAGCAACAGATGAGCTGCTATGCACAGAGGTTGGAACAAGTGAATTGGGAGCAGTAAAATCCTGAAGTTGTTCATGAATAATGGAACCTTTAGCAACTTTGCCAACTATAGTCATCACTGTTTGGATTGACTTGTGATATGGTAACATTGCTCCAAAGGGTATGTGGGGATTTATGCTGTTAAGATCATGTTTCAATTTAAGAATGCCATCAACATCAAGATTCTGAAATTTGGGGGGCCTGGGATCATAAAATTGTGATTGTAATCCTCTTTTCTTCCTAGCAAATAGGTCAGAGGCATGGCTTGGTTTTACAAGGGTTGAGACCCTAACTGGAATTCTACCGCTCTTTTATTTCCTTTCCCCCATTGCCTCGGCTTCGATGTGCAGCATCTGTTATCAGGGGTGGAAATTTGTAGTTGCGAGTTTCTCATCATGTTCTCAAGCTTCCAAATTATAGCCATTACATGACAGCAACACCCACAGTTGCAAGGGGGACATTGCCTTTCACATTTTGCTGCCTGGATCTTGGGTGTTTCTCTTCTGTTGATGACCAATTTTACTTTGTACTTAACATTTCTTTTGTAGGATGTCCAACAAGAAGGGTGCAAATAAATTATATTTTTTTCCACGTTGTTATATACCTGCATTTCATCTACGAAGTTCATCATACGAAGACCCTTGTCATTAGAGTTTATAACAACTTCAGCGTTTGCAGATTTCTTTGATGACTTTCCTGAATTTTTAACTTGTTCGAAAGCATCCATAGGCACAAAGGATGGCAAAACAGAAAAGTCTTCTGAGAATAGCGTGGACTTGTCCAGTGGGTAGCTATCAAAACACGTACTATTGGGGCTGGTTTGCCCAAGGACATTCTGCTCAGTTACACTGGAACACACTGGAGCGCTTAAGCCTCTCAAGCTTTGCTTTCATCAGGGTCAGGATCGTAAACCTTGTCTCCGTAATAGGGTATTGCATTGAATGCTTTTACTCTGCACACAAGGGAATACAAAAAGCAAGTAGGTAAGTATTCACCTGGAACAGTGCAACGCACATAACCATCCAGAAAACAAACAGCAAAACAAAATATCGAACTTACTTTTCAACGGGATCTTCTTTTCTTCTGCATTTAAGCCAGAATTTTAGCTGCGGTACATTCCATTTACCTACATCTTCTGAATTACCGACCAAAAAACATGGGATATCATCTGGAGTGAGATTTAAACTCATTTCTTGCAAGGCTTTGTCTTCCATGACACTTAATTTTCCCGCACAACTTTTAAGACTTGCGCCAGATGGCCCTTAGGCGTCACTTCCATGTAACTTCTGGTGATGGGCTGAATCTGTGCATTGCAAAGGACTCGAAATACTAAGTACACTGTTTTAAAAATGTGTTGAAGTGTTTGTTCAGTTTTGGAATACTTCTGTTACCTCGAGCAAATGCTAAAGCCAACTATTTCAAACAGAAGATCGTGGAAAACAAAGATAACATAAAAAATCAGTGGAAAATATTGAAGCCAGTCACACAAGCACTGAGCCATGTAATCATTGACAATGGGTGTGATGATTATTTTACATCATTTACTTCTTCACCAATGGAGATGAACTTGAATTTTACACGTCTGGTTGCAAATAACTAGCTCCTCCATCTCATCAACAACAGCATGTCTGAGACTGTCACAGATGTCTTCAAAATTCCAACAATGACAGAGAGGATAATTGAAAATGACTGGAAGAATATCCCATCTCACAAAGCCACTGGCCTAGATAGCGTCAGTGTTCATATACTAAAAGAAACTCTACCAGCTGCACTTCACAAAAAAGATTCCACTACTGACTTCCAATCCTTTCTAAACCTCTAGAACAACACGTATCTGCAACTTATCAGAAACACCTGTTAAAGTATAATCTGCTGTGCAAACATCAGTCTGCTTGTCGACCTAATTATTAATGTGAAACTGCAGTAATTAACATTACAGATCGTTGGCTCAAGGAATTGGACAGAGGAAAGCTTATTGGAGCCATTTTGCTTGATTTAAGCAAGGCATTTGACTTAGTCAATCATGACATTCTTCTATCCAAATTATCAATGTGCTTCACTAGAGAGTACACTATGCAATGGTTTAAATCATATTTGAGCAAATGCTGGCAGAAATGTATTGTATTAGGGAAAACATCAATGCCACTTCCTCTAATGTACTAGGAGTTCCACAGGTATCCATTTTAGGTCCATCATGTTTTTCAATGTACGTAAATGATTTGCCACTTTCTATACAAAATTCTGAAATTGATGTATGCCAATGACACTACCATCTGGTCAAGTGGTAACATGTGTGAAAGCATACAACAATTACTACAAGAAAGTCTAAATAATGCAAATTGTTGGTTCAGCCTTAATTTAATGGGATGAAGCCCAATGCCAAAAAAGTAAGCAAATGTTAATTCTAAGTACTCAAATCCTCGTTGTGCGGACAAGACCTGCATAAATTTATTTTGGATTGATACCAAACTAAAGGAGGCAATGGGGAAAAAGCCTCTTGGGACTAGGATACACAAAAATCTCACTTGGAATTTGCGTATTGATTATGTTATCAGCAAGCTGAAAGTTCTGCAAAATTTATCTGTTCAAAAGGTGAAAACATTTTCTATCTTTGCACTGTAGGAAATTATTGTTAGTATCATTCCCTTGTAAAACCGACTGGTTATTTCATTTTGCACTGAACAGTAAGACTACTGTAGATCAAATAGTAGGGTTGTTTGATACAAAATCTTTTCAAACAAATGTCTTGATTTTTGAAAAAATGGTAGACTACAGTTGACAGTGGTAAGGGCATTATGCAATACTGGTCAGAAAAAAAATGACATTGAATTTCAGCACTAAGAAATGTTTGCAACCAAAATTGCCCCTCAATCACATGTGAAAAGAGTTGATACACTTGTTTAGCCAGTCATTTTAGACATTTTAACATAAATACCTTTTGTCCCTCTCCACCTATCAATGTTATTTCAGGATTACTTTGAATTCCAACCTTTGAGCAACAACTTTGACTAACCCTAACCCTAACACTGTACAAAAAGTAAAGGATTTGTCTTCCTAAAAGCAATGGTTTGTAATTTATATTTATATTAACCTATAGATAAACATAAAGTAAGAGTAAATCCGACACTAAAAGAATTAATGTACTTTGTGCTGATAGTATGCAACTTGATCTTGGTCTTAAATTGTCTCAAAGAAGTCTCTTGTTTTTGGGACTTCAAGATTTGGAAGACCGAAGGCCATAATCGTGTCGGTTTGTGATAAAGTTAACAAATTAGACAAATGAGAGGGACGTTAACAATTTACTACCTTAAACATCATTGTAGTCTTATGTTGTCTCATTTCTGTTTGGAATCCCAGCCAAGTTCACACCAAATATCTTTGCAGTGTTTCAAGTGCCATGCCTGAAACTTAAAATATTCTACAGTACAGTACAGTACAGTCAAGAGCCCTCCCCTACCCCACCACTTTAACAAGGTGGTAGAGGAGACCAAACAAGAGGTACTCCAGCCTCTAACTGTAAAGACCCCCTACCCCATCTAAATAGGTCAACAGAGTAGCAGTTAAAACTTCCTTACCCGATCTGTATAGGTGCAGGTAATAATCAAGACCTCCTGCGCTATCCATAGGGATGGTGGGTAACCTCTGTCCCATCCATATGGGTGGCTTTAAGCAATATAGGAGGTAAGTAACTGTCAAGGCCCCCTACCGCTTCCATTAAGGTGGCGGGTGGGAGATGCCCTGCCTCCAATCTGGATAAGCCGGCAGGGGTACCCTGTCCCCTAAAGTTGGGTCCTTGTGTGGGACAGTTGTTTTGACCTAATAGTCTTATTAATAAATAACTCTCAATTTGTAATGGTAATTGGACGAGGAGGGTTCGGAGAATTCGGGACAGTTATACAAACCTGAGACGTAGTCGAGGGTTTGCATAACTTTCGAGAATTCTCCCAACCCTCGAGTGTTTAGATGAGGCTATGTAAACGCGGAAAAAGTGCTCTATTGCTTTTATAAAATAATTCTCAAAAATTAATACGCGAGAATCTAAAACGTCACAACTGTGTTTACATACTCTGATCTAAACAAACCTATCGGCCAATCAGAGCGCGCGTAGTAGCTCAGTTATATTATAATCACATCTTAAACCTATTAGTAGACTCAATTCAAAAACTTATCTGATGGGAAAAGCTCACCCTTCATCGCATGTTTGTAGTTATATGCCAAACACTGTTTCTTTGACCGATTATCCAGTTGCAAATGATTATCAAACCCACCCACAATATCCTCAGCCTAACCCACAGAAAATGTCGAAGTAAGCCCAATATATGAATACTTCCTCGTCTTTTATAGAAGAATAAATATCGCCATTCTGAACTGTATCGGGATCGAATCTTCTCACATACCATTTACCTTTACAACAAGAAATTTGATTTGGCTGTTTATAGTAGATTCAATCTGATTGGTGTGACATACATACATCTCTCTCTCACTCACTCACTCATTCATTGACCCGTCCATAACATACCCTGATGCGCCGACTTTTTTACAGAAAAATAACTCAAGAAAGTTAGTAGCGTTTTCCATAACTTTTGTAAACAGCAAGAAACATTAACAAGTAAGCCATTAGAGCACACATAATTGACATGCGAATGGCATAGGTATCCAATTAAAGGTTTCCAATTTCAGAGTTGTAATTGGTTATCTGTAATTGGACACCCACATGATCGCGTACCTTTAACGTTACAAATGGCGCGTGGAGAACCAACCGATCAATAATTTTCTTATAGATACGGTTAACAGTTTTATGATGACAGTTTTGTGCATCCAGCATTCATTTCAACTTCATGAATTTGAATGTTGTTTTCTTTCTGTAGGTGTCACAATCTATTGTGGAAGGGGAAGATGAGGAATCCAGAGTGGATAGAGAGTTGTCAGAACTTAGTGAACAAAGGTACAACCACTCTGTCTTTCTCACTTGAAGGCTCCAGTTTTGTTACATTTTGTCTTCTGTAATTTTTAGTTCAGAGTGCACTATTGGGATGGTTCTGGGGGCTGCCTGCCACCATGGTGCTAAGGTGTAAACTTTAATGTTTGTTTAATTAATTAATTCCAATTAATTAATTAGTCTAGAGGCAAGGAAGTGAGAGGCAAGGAAGTGGTGGGGGTGAGGTGGGAGAGGTACATGTGTACCCTACGTAAAACATGTTCCATCTACGTCAGTTAGGTGTGGACATCGCAAAGCTATATATTGGTTTCAAGTAGCCCCTTGCCCTCCTTGTGGTACTATTCTCTTTAGAACAAAACTAATTTGCTCTAAACGCATGCTCAGATTAGTTAGCATTTGTGTCTTCTATATATATAACGTGGAGGATACATTGCATACGGGATCACACACAAATGTTGAGTGGTTTTCCTTACGGCAGAACCCAACATGTAACAGGCATGCATTCTAGTATCGTTAGTGTTACACTATGTTTCCACGCGGTTTTTGTGTGGCTTACACGAAGTGTAAACCACGCAATGTCATGGTCCAAGATATTTATTCCTGGATTTGTCACGGTGAACAGAGCGCTTGTCGCGTGGTTTGCTATCCTCAAGGATAGGCTCCAGTCTACGCTCGGCTAAGTTACATAAGCTTCAACAAGTGGTCTTGTGTCGTACGGCGCACTAGCCATCGTGGTCTCTAGTTTCCCCTGCTTTTAGTTTTAACGGTAAGTCGTTTTTGATTTTGAGCTTGGTCTTGAGTTCCACATCTTATCATTTTTTTAACTCGTCGAAAATCTAGTTATTAAGTACAAATAACGAAACCCGTCTGCGATTGTTGTTTTACTTTCAGGTGTTCATGCAAGTCAACAAATCGAGACAATGGGAGAAAAGTTCCTCGCGAAAGCTAGGACAGACTTGGCATGTGTCCAGTGCAGGTTCTACAGGAGCCGTTGTACTTTTAAAAGCCAATATTCATTACTTTGATCCGTCAGAAGTTTAAAATGTCTCCATCAGTGACCACAAATTCAAAGACAGTACCGCTTGAGTTTGAAAACTACATAAGTTGAAATCACAGATGCTTTCTCGAGACTTTCGGAAACAAGAGGGTAATATCTTTCATCGCTTTACATTTGGATGGATTTAGTGGAATTACTTGTTTACAAATGTAGTTCACGGAAGAGGTCATTCAACGATCAGTTGACTGGAAAGCCGTCGATTTGCGGAATATATTTTTACCCTTTTGAGTAAGTACGCTTCTTCGCCTCAGTTTGAATATGAACTGTCACCTTTTCTCTTTGTCCAAGGTAGATATTCAAAAGTGAAATAAATTACCATATTAGAGTTTATTTGCATTTGTTTACTGTACTAAGAAATCACAATCACATTGTCCGAAAAGTAAGCTTAGTATATTTGGAGATTTAGACAGTGATTTCTTTGCTATTTTTGTTAATTAGCATTGTTGACCATACATTAATGTGATGTATGGATTTGCCTTATTTAAATTTGTTAAGCCATATATACAAGCAATTTTATTTAAAACTGGATCATCGCATAATACAATTGTGGAGTCTAGGAGCCTCAAGAAGAACGGTCTCGTCGATGGAACGTTCCAGGACCATGGACTTGGTTTTCAGCCTGACTCTCCTCACAAGCCCTCTTTCAATCTTGTTTGGTTTTTCTTCCAGGATGAGACCAAGGGACCACAAGTTTTTTACCACGAGTACAATGTCTCCAGTTTCAAAGTAATGCCTATACATTTTCAGTGATTGCCTTCTCACTAATATAGCAATTCAGCTCCCAGATACTGATTTTTAAAAACAAACTCCAACCGAATGAAATAACACTAAGCATAAGCCCACAAGTACGCATGGCGGACCTATTGGTTTGGATGTGTTTACAAGATAAGAAAGTTAGGTCATCGTGCAGTAGGTCACGACAACATCTTAATTGTTTTAGAATCCGCAATTTGAAAACCACAACCACAACCACAATATAGAATAAAAAAGAGAGAGGTCAGAGAATCTGAGTCTAATTTTACTCCTTCCTTTGCTACATTGCTTTTCCTTCACTTCCTGATAACTTTTGCAGTTTTGCGAACACCAAAAGTCTAAGATTTTTCTCACATTAAGGTCATCTATTCAGCGTTTATTTAATGTGATTAGTTTACTCCATGTCTTCCATGTCTTGGACTACTGTTAGAAGCCGGCAAGGATGAAAGCGAATTCAGGCTAGCTAATAGCACCAATTTACGTTGGCCAGTGGCAAGAATCTTCGAAGCTGCCGGCTTGCAGCTTGTTTGTTCAATGTTTACTACACAATATAGACACCTAGTTTACTGCAAATTTGGGTTCCTCGCTGTCTCAATATACCAGTTTACTAAGGAAAGAAGCCACATCGGGTTATGATGGTGAGTCTTACTGTCAGTTTAGTAAAACGTTGGATTCAAATTTCCGAGTCGTGTTTTTTTTAAGTGAGTGTTTGGGTGTTTAGAAATGTATCACATTATTATCGATGTATTTGTCTTTCGTCGAAGTTGGCAGTTTTATCGTTTAATATCTAGGATATTATCTTTTAATTTTTTTCTTTCAATTCGTGAGCACAGCAACTAGCCTTCCTGGATGTCTGATCAGATCAGGCGAGCCATGAAATCTTGCGATCAAATGAAGTGGAGGCCTGTTAAATGGATAGTTGTTACTGTTATAAGAGTATAAGGAATAAAGTTACTCACTGAATTGAATTGGCCAAAAGGAATTTTTTTTAATGCCCTGCATACCCATCATGTCGATGATTCTTCTATATCGTGGTCTACTCTTAGGAAACTTAGCTTCTGACCACATAAGAGGAATTGTCGCTGTGCACTGCAAGAGCTAGTTAGTAATGGTGCCATTGAGAATGACAACCTTTGAATAGCTAATGGTTAGATCACTTGGATTGCAGTCAAGACAATTCACGACTATTCTGCATGGGACTTCCTCTCGCTTTTAATGATATCTGCACTGAGTTTGTTGACCAGGAATTGTCATTTCTGCGCTGACACAAATCCTCTAGACTTAAAGGTGTTCATTCTCATTTTACAAACATTGGTGCCAGCAAATGTTCTTGCCTCTCCTTTGACTTGTGTCTTCAACCGTTTGTTGCAGTCTTGTGCAATCCCAAATTCTTTGAAATTGTTAAGGTGACACCTTTACATAAATCTGGATCGTCAGATCCGAATAATTTCAAACAGTCAATCAATTTTAGTGCTTCGAGTAGTTATGAAGATTTTTGAGCGAGCAGTCCTTAAACAAGTCTATGGTAATCTAACTGCTAATTCTACTATCACCAAACTAATCTACATTCTGACCAGGGCATTCTACTAAAATGTTAATTTGACACATAGTGAATTGACAAATTGGAGGAACCCAAGGCGCATTCTTACACCGTGACCTAGCCCTTAGCACATTTGGCCAAAAAAAAATGTCCTTGCCATTTTGGATTACAGTACACGGAAAAACTCAGAATGAGCCCACATTTGTTTAGTACATGCATTGGACAATAATCTTATCAAAATGCAACTTTCTATAAACGTCTTGCAAAAAATGTGCATGTCGCCAACATCCTTTGTTAATTCAATTGCCGAGTTCAGTGGTCCACTAAGAAATAGCTCTATGATGCTCTTTTCGTACCACTAACAAAATTGAATCGATTGAGCTGAACTGTCTCTGCAGTACTCCTGAAACGTCTTATTGAGGCAACAAAAAAAATCAGTATCTATACTCCTATAGCACCACTTTAATGTTTATCACTTAGGTGAGTAGACTGGGTTACAGCACTCCATATCTCTTGATTTGACTTCGCCTTGTGGTTGCGCTGGAACTACTCAATAAGGTCTTTAGACAGTACTAGGACAGATAATGTTTAAGATGATTTCCGCTGAACATTCGAGCAAAAAATCCGCATAGCATGGCAATATTTTGAATACAGTTTGGAAGAACTTATCGAGACTTAGGCTCTCAAGGTGACCCCGCGAGAGAAAATTGAATTTGAAGTTATCCATATTTTGATAAAAACGGACATTTCACGTCAGTTCAAAACACGATAACGCACGCTTTAAGCATTCTTACAAGGTTTGACACTAACTTTGTCGAGAATGCTTGAGAATTTAATCGCGAGGTCACTTACAGAAATGAATTAAATTGAGATGTTTCAAATAGCATTCAAAAAGTTACCGTGGTATGAGCAGATTTTTGGCAAACAAGAAGATCTTGGAGTTCTTATAACCGCGCATTTAAAATTTAACTGTTTTCTTAGCTCTACAGTCGCGTGAATGGGAGGCGCGGTGGCCTCATGGTTAGTGCGCTCGTCTCCGGATCGAGCGGTTCGGGTTCGAGCCCTGGCCAGGGACATTGTGTTGTGTNCTACAGAAACCGGGATAAGCTCCGGCCTGATGGGCCACTTGGCTCGCATGCAGACTTTACCTTTACCTACAGTCGCAATGCAGGGCAGATTCCAAAGCAGTCTTTGATGATTCATTGATTACTGTAGACACATCACTTGATCAACACAAACTGTATCATTGCACCACCAGTCGTAGCCGTTGTGAACTCTCCGATGACGTAATCTTCTTAATCCGGAATTTTCATCGGGATATGTATGGGCATGAAGATACAAACACTATTAACAACAGCTTTCTTTCTTAAACGTCACGATTAAATTTAATTTTTTTCCCTTGAGTAAAGGGCTAGCAAAGAAGTCACACGAGTCGCATAATTCAACAATTGCGTTATCCACGGCTATCTTTAGTTCGGTGGTTATTTCTCTACCAATGACGTAATCCTTGCATGTTCTGACAAGTTCTTTGCTTGGCTTGCAAATATTTAATTTTCCTTCCAATCTATGAACTCGCTCCGATGAAACAGCCAAAGAATTTACTTCATTTGCCTAAAACCACAAGAAATACTCGCAAAATTGCAAATCACTATCATCACTGTTACTGATTAATGACAGTCGCTTCTGGCGAAATAAACTTGCAAAGTAAACACGATCTTATTTGTCACGTAGCGAAAGTGAAAGCTGCAACGTTAACGTATTCCATGGCTGACGTAATACCTTTTTTTAGCGTATTTATTATTCCCTTTGAATCCAACGCTTGGATAAAGCCAAAAGAAAATATATTTTACCCACAACAAAGAAAATAATATCCGTAAAATTGTCCGTGTATAAATGTTTTAACAGCTTCTGGCGAAGAAACATCACACGTTGCGTGACTCAGAATTTGGTCGAGAGGGAGCCTTGGTCTGCTCACCGACAAAAAAAATAAGTAAATAAACCACGGGTAGAACATGAACCGCGCTCATGGCCGTGCGGTTAATAAGTTTTGCACTCATTGCTCGAACTTTGAGCGGAATCCGTCTAAATCATTTGATCCACTGTTCTGGTTTCATTGGTTTTAGCAACGGCAATCGGGTAATCTAGTGACAAGCTCTTCACAACAGCATATTGTCCAGGCCAGTATTTCTCTTCTTTCCACAAGAGGGTGGGGCCACTGTCTGCGGTAGCTCGGCATCTTCTGCTGGCAGCCCTCTGGATGTGTCATGTGCAGGATTTGAACCTGCATCTGCATACTTCCACTGCCTTGGCTGAGATCCCTCATTTTGGGTTGCAGTTCAGTTCACGACAAAGGTTTAATATCTTGAAATCTTTTATTATGATTGGCCGTGCGTATTGCAAAATTTGGACGCTAAAAGAACCTATTGGAATTCTCCTTTTCATCGCGGGCCAGTAATCAGCCATATTATAAATACATGTATGAGCGATGTTGCAAGACTGTGCAAAGACAACAAAAGTTGAGGCAGCCTCTTTTAAGGCCCGTTTACACAGGCGATTTTTGTCGCGGCAACTCAACGGCAATTTTTGTCGCGCTGAAGTTGCAACTTCAAAATCGCACGTGTAAACCAGGTGCGATTTTCAGTGCGATTTGTCGCCGCGATATCGCAGGGGTTTCGAACATGTTTGAAACTTGATGCAACTTAAGCGCGACAAAAATTGCATCGAGTTGCCGCGACAAAAATCGCCTGTGTAAACGGGCCTTTAGCTGTTAAGCTTAGTGTAGTGTAAGGTTCCATTTTAATCTGTAATAATGTAATTGTAATAATAGACATCCAATTAATCATTTCAAACTAGAGAAATACAGCTACAAGTATCAATGTTGTCATTTAAGGGACGCAAATGAGTTATTTCCCTGTGAAATGATATTGCCTGTTGTTTAAGAATTAAAGTAATTATTAATCGGAAAATGTGTGTGGTTTTTTTTCCTGGTCACGTGCGTTCCAAATATGGTTGTTACCATAAAAATTATGGTGAATGGATCTTCAGTGCAGCAAACATGGCTAAATGGCTGATTATTGGAGGTCAGGAAAGGCAAAAATTACTTTTGGTGTCATACAGAAATTTTTACTTCTTTACATGGATTGCAACCTAAAAGAAAAATAGCAAAGCTTTTGCCTACCCCCTCTACTCCCTTGTCCTCACACCCATGTCTTAACCCCATTTCACTCTTGCTATTTCTTCACACTCTATTTACCTTATACATTCATTAGTTTGTTTTGCAATGTCCGTGACAGCCAAGACATTATTAAAAATGTCATCGTTTCTGCATGCATTGCGTGCCGTTTTTTTGGTTATTCTGAGGGGTCGAGAAGATCCCAAGAACAATATGCTGTTGGAAGGTTGTGGCTGTAAGCCGGGAAGCGTGCCAGATTTTTTCAGGCCACTTACATTTAATCATACCTAGATTCAAGCAGCATTCAAGATTATACTGAACATTTTGAATATTTAATTCTTCATCTGAAGAGTGCAAGTTTCACTTAAAGAATGCATGCAAATTTTCAAAAATGAAATTCTGTGCTTTTTGCAAGATTTCTTGGGTGGGTTTGACTGAAATATTCTTGCGCATTAATTCTTTTTCATGATTTATTGACTAATTCCCTTTATTTTATTAATACCAGACTTTACTTTCTACGAGCTGATGCCTTGCGGGACAAACAAAATGCAACAAAGGACAAGGTTTCCCTACAAGAAGCTGTTCAGAGACAGGCACAAGTAGAAAACTCCAGCAACAGTGATGATAGTGATTTTGAAGAATTTCTAGATTGGAGAGCAAAGAAAGTATCTTGACATGAAGATGGCTTGTTCTGCAATTTGGCATTTTTCACCCATATAGCAATAAAATATAGCAATAAAATTGTTATTCTGATTTAGCTCATTTCCCCCCTCCCCCTGTTTCATTTCCCTTCATCATATTCCTCAACTGCCCAGACATCACTGCTGAATGTCTGTTGTGACAAAGTTCAATCCCCCTCGCTCTTACCCCCAACTTTTTATGTAATCTCGTAAATAAGAATTAAGTCATAACCTGTCTTGTTTTTAAAATGTTTGTGCATATTTGACCTGTCATAATATACACCAATGTTGTGCAATTAGCAAAACACTCTATGACCAACGTAGTAACCCTTTGCTGATAAAGGTGCTGATGCTAATAACAAAAATACATGCATGTACAGCCTTTGTTAAAACATCATTCAAGCTGAAAAAAATGCTAGCAAACTGTTTTTCATGGTTGCCACGTGGGAAATCGATATATCACTTGATTTAACTTTTAAACCGTCTTGCAGAGCCGACATTTCTAAATTCGTGAGACAACTTGTTCCAAAAGAAAGCCCCATTGTAACTGAAACTTCGTTTTAAATAATATTAGGGACTTAAAGATACGCTACGGCGAGATGCTATCCGGGTAGTGTCGCACTTATAAAGCGAAAGAACAAAAGGCTTGGCTGTGAGTGTTACGAAAAATTGTCTAAGTCAAGTTCTAGAACAATCTAGAACCGGACGTCATTCAGCCGTGACCAATTTGTCTAAGAACATTCCAGAACATTCTGATCCTTATGTAATTACTCAGATTAGAAACTGTGTCAAACTACTTAATTTAGCTCCTAATAGAAGTTTCAAGAACTTTAAGCCTCATGTATATTAGGGCGAGAGTCTCTTCTGTAGGAGAGATTGGTTCAAATTTGAAGAAGCTTAGTGTTGTAAATTCGTGAAGTTACCTTACGGAAATAAATTGGTTTGTTGCTGTTACCAGCGATCTTGAGTTTTGTCTGGAAACAACCTTGCTCTACAACGATACCAATGAGAAAGCACTGACGTCATAGCCAAACTGGACAGACGAGTTTCTGACACCGGCTGGATTTGATTATTCAAAATGGCAGACATACCTTAATTTAAGGTTATAATATGCCAATTTGCCAAACATTCTTTAGATGCACCCTTATGTTCTGTAACGACTTTGTAATTTACGCTATACATACAGTTAGATATTAAAATCTGCGTTCACCTTGTGTATCTTGAGATACAGTAGCCAGATTAAGCCTTGATTGATGACGTTCGTTTAAGATTCTCTCAGCCATCTAAAATTGCACGTTGCAGCGAAAGGGTAGTTCAAATTCGTCGACAATGTCTACCGTCTACGAATGCCTAAGAGCGAAAACACCTTCCAGTGCCTCGCCGCCTAAAGTATCACAATTTTCAATGTTATTCCACCAGATATCATTGTCTCCGCAACATTTAGATTTGAGGTCAATTAAGTAGCGAGATCCGCGAGAACTGGAAGCTATGGAAACAGTAATACTGTAATAATTACTTGGTTTGGAGCGGGAAAGCCCCGAGTATCAACTCGCCATGTTCAAGGACGTTATTGATGAAGATGGCCTTCAAGTGTTCGAAAGCCTTAAGCTATACTGAAGCTATACGTGTAGTAATGGGGAAGATGAAAAAGGAAGGAAAAACTTCCTACCGAAACGCTCGACAACTTAATCGCAGAATTAAAAGAACCTTGGTAAAGAGCTGCAATTTCGGGTGTAGTGTGGACGGCTGGGACTAATCTTCCTAGGCTCCTAATTAAGTCAATACTAGTAATCAGACGGCGTTCTTTAATGAGTCCAAGGAGAAAAAAATCGGAGGTCCCGCGCAAAGGAGAAATGCACCATGAATAAAAACAGTACACAAAATAAATATTTAGGAGTGGACCTCTTTAAGGATCTTAGTCATGTTTAATATTCGTTTTATGTTACTAGCATTATCACGAAGGCTGACCCGGTGGCTAAATAAAGTTTTACTTTACTTACTTTTACTGTTGGATTTATCAGGAGAAACCTGGAACACATTAAGAAAAACTATTGTTATTCATTAGTAAGAGACCATCTGTGTGGGATTCACCTACCCAAAAGGAAATTCATAACAGCCAGATCTTGGGTATACAATTTATTATCGTATAACAGGATATGTGATTCACATACCTAAAGGGAAATTCATGACATGCCATCCAGTTCTAAGGTGTATAACGACAAGCCGCTCGTTTTGTTAAACATTTTTATGATCGAATACCAGGGTATGTGACCGGTCTCTTGAATGAGCTAATAACGATAACGCATCTCATTAAATACAGTCGAAATACAGTCGAATCAGTCGCACGGAGTTTGTCTACTATAAACGAGCACGCAATTGCAAATGTTTGCTCATATTTGTGCTTCCAGCTTGGAATAATGTACGTAAAAAATATACTTTTACAAATAGGCTTTTACGCTTAAACATTACCAGTTAATATGAAAATATTTAGCAAGAAATTTGAGGGCTGATGTAGATATTTTTAGCATAGTTACTGATCATACCCAGCGGTAGAAAATAATTCATCTTTTAAGATGTTAACCCCCCGGTATTAACCCTTAGAGCGAGCAAAACAACTAATTGGTTACTTAAATTTGATTGAAGCTCTTCAAAATGCACAATGTTGTGAGAAATAAATTTAAATCCTCTGTTGATGGGAAGAGAGTAACCTAATGTCACTGTATTGGATTTGGAAGAAAAGTCATTTGGGCATGCAGACTCAGTCCCCAAAATATCCTAATTAGAGGTATTACGGATTGCAAAGGAAATGTTTTTAACTAAGAGAATACCATCGTTATTAAGATGGTTTTCTAGAATGTTTGAATTAGCTTGAATTATCGATGAAAGACCAAGAATATTGATGACACGACGAGCTCAACAAGTTGTTTACCCGTCTCACTTTGTTGTTGAGTGTGGAATCACGACGACAAATGATACTGGAAACGAAAACCTTGCGTTTTTTAGCTGGGCCTTCAGCTTCATTTGCTAATTCGATGATGTTGTTTGCTACTGAGCGGGAATCACGATTAAAGTCGTTTGTTCCGATGTGGATTACCACTTAATCTGGATCTTTCGCTAAACTTGGAACCATAAATATAACGCTTCATGTCTTCCCGGCTTGGAGCTACAAGGGAAGCATTTGCGAAACACATTTTTCCCATCACATTTCATTCTTCTGGAGTCCACATATTTAATCGTCGAATCGCCCAAAATGATGGTCGATTTAACTTCTACCCGCCGCCCGCCAACAGTTAACCAATCCGTGTTATCATCACGATGAAGAGGTAACGATTTATCGAACTGAGGTGACGCGGTGTTTGTAGGTGTTGGCCGAGTTTGGTCATCATTTTTAACAGTTGTATGGCTGTAACAAGGCAGCTGTCCCATTCATTTTCTAGGGTTTTTACTTTGTTAGATGTCCTTGCATTCGATGAACGTTCATATTCGAAATTCTCTTTTAATTTCTTGACCTCATTTTGAAGAGCAATATTTCCTAGGCGTTCTTGACTAGGTGACGAACTGTTGGTAATTTGCATATTTACCTTCGAGTGAACAAGATGCTGAAGTTCATTACGTTGTTGCTTGACTTTCTGTGAATGGCTCTTAACCATAGAACCACCCTCACACGCGGAAGGGCTTGGCAAAGTCTGGGTTACAGACCGCAGGTTCTGCGAAGAGTTGAAGGAGCAATCCAACGCAATACATTTCATGTATTGCTTTGATACGATATCAGTGACTTTATTTGTTATTTTAATGCCGGGCATTTCATCAAAATTTTGTCTGGTCTACAAATGATACGAAATTCCCAGTTTTTCTCAGATTTTCAAAAAATTCCAACCTATTCTTAAAAAATCCTACAAATTCCAAGTTATTCTCAGAAATTCCTAGGAATTTTTGGGAGGTGAGTATATTTGAGTTGGAATTCCTAGGAATTCCTAGGAATTCCAAATCAGCTCTATGTAAACTTGGAATTCCTAGGAACTCCGAATCCGAATTACCGTGAAAATTCACACCTTAGATTCCTAGGAATTCCTAGGAATTCTCAGGAATTTTTTCCTAAGAATTCTTAGGAAATTCCTAGGAATTCTTAAAGTTATCTCACAAGGGTCGACTGGTTTAATTTGAGGCCGCGAGCGGACATTGCTGAGAGTCTCAGTTCGGTTGAAGAGCAAGCAGGTTTTGCTTCGATGCAAAGAAGTTGCCTAGTTTTTCTCGCAAGATGGCGTAACCAGACCCCTGGATTTGGACGGTATGAGTTGAAGAATACCACTATGACTATGATATCATGATCACCCACCTTGAATAAAAACATTTTATGGGCTGGATCTTCTGAGATATCGCCATCTTCCGTAAACTCAAGTAATATCTTGACCAGTCAAATCAAATCTTTACAATCCCCATACCACTTGAATTGATCCTTCGTGTCCAAGTAGTTGAATCGACTAGCCAAAGATGCAATTGATGATGAATTCTCGTTTGCAAGAGACATTCTTAAACCAATTGAAAACCGACTAAAATACAAAATAGCGGAGCGCGAGAAAAAATACGTCTGAACTCTCCGAGAGTAGATAAGGAAAAAGCACCTGATCTCCAAAGATTACAGAAGAAAGAAGTTATAACCGTCACCAGAGCACATCATGCGATATCCATTTTCTGTAATCTTAATTGTACATGTAACGTGCAATATTCGTTAGATTTTGAAGCGACCGTAGCGGAAGTAGTATGTATCAGGTGAATAGCCCGCTTGGTTCCACATAACAACTGATTTAACGATCGAAAAATGGTTGCAGAACCATTTAATGAGATGCGTTATCGTTATTAGCTCATTCAAGAGACCGGTTCATTTCGGAACATGATTTAAATTTAGCTAAATTTAGATGTTCACGTCTGTTGACTGTTTTGCGTCATGTATACATTTGTTAATTGGTTATTAGAGACATTTTTTCGCGGCAGTAAATTGAATGGCTTTGTTCTCTCTCATTCTTCATGCCAATCATTTCAAGGGGGCGGTAAAGCATAAACAATGGTGTGACTACAG